ATATCGACCACTCCAAGCACCATACAGAGTAATTTCTCATTCCGATAATTTTTTTGTATTGGATTGCAAAAGAACGTATGAATTGGTGAGCATCGTTTGTTTAAAACCCGCGTATCCTGATGCATCATTCGATTTACCCATCACACAATCTCCACATGTTCTTCTACCAGTTATACCTGATACATCACCTACACCAAGTCACTCAACAGACACAACACACACTTCTCCAACTATCCCACTTACACGCACATTTACACCTCCAACCGTTCCACGTATAACACGTCTCGGCAAGAAAAGTACACTTTCCTGCTCGTTTTGTTTAACACTTCGCTTTTACCCTTGCCTTTATTCAGTATTCAATTTGCACTTTCACACTAGAAAGGAGGTACTGTATTGTCTTACTTTTCTATCCATTTTTATGTGACATGATTGTAAACCTTGTTTTAATATGCACAACAAGCAACAACATAATACAAATTCTGTTCGTAACTACGCACGTGTTCTCCGAGTTTTGCCGAAGCATTACGCGTACATTATCAGTTATCGTCAAGCGGTCCGTTAAATGTCGCAGCCATCAATTTCAGCAATACTGCACACTTTCAACCGGAGCCACACATCCGAAGAACGGGATCAATCAACCAGTCGGACAATCGTTCTGTGAATCCGTTCCACGTGCCGTTTATTTCATTATTATTCGTGTATGTAGCATCTTTTTCATCACAAGTCCCGTTAATGGGGGAAACGCTTTCCGATGGGACTTGAATAGGACGGCTGTGCGGATTGGGTATCCAACCCAAATGTTACAAATAATCACAGGAAATATCCGTGATAATAAACATAAATAAGAAAATGAGTAATTCGAATTGCCTTTCAGATTATTCTTGTCTAATAGGAAAATTCTGCACGCTTCAACAGATCAAGTAAACTAATCTTGAGCTTTACATTCGAAAGGAGTTCAATATTACCGAAAGCAACGGTTAGTCCAACAAAGAGCGTAAATCGAAACTGGGGTCGTAATATAACAAGAAACAGTGAAAAGGTGGTTGCTGATATCCGTCAGAATCTGTCACTACTGTTTTCTCACTTTCTTTCTGGACATCCATCCCGGGAGGAAAGAGAACCAAGAATTGGGATTATAGAAACGTTTTATTCTGAAATTTTCTAGCTTATGCTGGTATTTTAGCAACGGTAGCGGAAAACTGAAAGTAGATCTGATCGGTGCAAAGGAAGCGTGTTATACAGAGCTCACCGTGGGGAATAGTATCGATGCGGTCTTTTCGAGCTCATTAAATGCACGGTAATAGTTAGAAAAACTTAATCCTGGAAATGTCCAAGTTGCTATATCTAACGAAGAAAATTTCCCTGGAAGAATACTATCGACAAATTATGGCGATATATGCTAAATCTCGACAGTACACTTGATTGTGTCCGGTGAAGAAGGGTACTTATGTTAGAAGGAAAAGCATATTGGTGTCCTAGCTTTGTGATTCTTCTACCTGATCGAGATGCTAAAACGCTACTTGATGTCCGAACCTTGTTGGTTCTGATAAGTACGCCATGATTATGTAACCATATCCTGACAGTTCATAATCACATAGGACCGGTTGGAAAGTGAACCTGTCCTGCTGCTAGTCACACAAGCGTAGATTGAAGGCGTTTCTGGTCTGTGATTTGATGATCAAGTCCAGCTGGAATGGATCTATCAGTAAACTTAGAGAAAAGCAAGAGGTAGGAAAAGAAAACTGCCGTTGCAAAACTGTCGGTTGAAGAACAGCTACACACTGAGTGCCATTTACATATAAGCACAAAGCCTTAAAGTGCATGTCCAATGAATACGATTCACTATAAAATGGTGAAATATAAGGATCAGGATAGAGAATTTACTAACATAAAAACCACCGTCAGAAAGGATGGCAGTAGAATGCTGTGGTATTGTGAATGATATTCGAAATGCTGTTCCGGAATTCACGCAGTACCGATCTCCGAAATAGAACATCTTTGAATGGAATAGCACACGAAATTTATTCAAATTGTATATATTGTATATATATATATATACATATATATATATACATATATATATATATATTGTATATACTAGCATATTCAATGTATTTAAAGAGTACAATAATTTTGTCGAGGTCAGTATCACACATCACAAATGCACAATAGAATAGCGAAGAAAGGTAACGAAATGCAAGGTAATTGTGAGGAATTTTCAGTCTTTTTTAATATTACGCGAACCGCATCAAACATTCATGTAATGATTGTAGCAATGACAGTAATACGCACTGAACTCGGAATACGAACCACGCAACACGAATCACGGAATACGAATCAAGGATTAGCAATCACGAACTGGATCACGTAAGCACTGGACTACATTGGCACTAACACGTAACTGAGACGCGAAAAAGGCCACATGAGTAGTAGTTCATTTATTGGAAGAAATATAGGGGGTTAAATAAGTATATAAGTAAATAAATATACAAAATAGGCTCATTGGTCATCTGGGCTTCTGCCAATTGCGTTCGTGTTGCTTGCATCGTTCTGCTTCTGTCTGGGCCGCACGATCTCTGATTGGCTGGTACTATCTAACTATGGTATGTAGTCCGAAGCAGGACAGGACAGGTCACAGGACTTACGGCGGAGCCAAAATCAGTCGTTTCTTGCACCAATGAGCTTGGGAGCACCACGGTGCTGCGAAAATTATGTTTGTTCGTTCACATAAACGTGAGTTAGTGCGGTTATGGAAAAGGAAAACGCACTTCTGATGATTCCTCGGAGTGACAGTACACGTCTGAGGTTTTGTCAGGATCCAAGCAACAGCTCGCAACCCTCCGCTCCGAGCTACAAGATACAAGATCTGAAAGTGGTGATGCTGGATGCTGAGAAATTTCAGTAAAATGAACGCTGAATGAAAATGGAGTTCTGGAAGTTGGAGAAGCATTTCAAGATAGAAGAGCTTAATATAAAGAGGGGGACGGAGACGGATGAGCAATTGGCCGCCTTAGGCCCGGTTTCACATACAACCGCGAAACTTTGATGCCCATGATGCGTCAAAATTCGGCTTGAACTCGGCAGATGGTTTTCGACGCCAATATCTGTTGAGGCAGTTTGCTCCATGTATTAACTACCCAGTGCGAAAAAAAGGAGTTCTCAAGCGTTTGATTGCCTGGGGCTCTTCCAAATTCATGTTATGCCCCCTTCTGTCGAAGATATCGTTCTGCCAGGGTAGGTGGGAGATTTCGTGAGAGAAACCCGTCAAGATACGGAAAGTCTCAACTAGGTCACTCCTTAGCCTTCTCCGTTCAAGTGATAACATGTTCAGCCCTTGAAGGCGTTCGACATATGTCGCGCCCCGAAAGTGCGGGAACATGCGCGTGAACCTTCGATACTCCCTTTCCAGAAACCTATGGTCCTTCTTCAGAACTGGGGACTAAGCTTGTACACAGTAGTCTAGGCGTGGCCGAACGAAGGCCATGTAGAGCGGGACTAGTACGACAGGGTCCCTGGACGTCACTGTGCGCTTCAACCTGAACAACGCTTTATTGGCCGTACGTGCCACAGCAAGACACTCGGCAAAGGAAAGCATATATTAAACGACGATATATCTTTGTTATCACTTTGTGTCCTTTGAGAGGTAATTCAATGTAGATATCACTTCTATATCAAATTTTATCACGAACTTAACCACTAATCACACCAAAAACACGAAACTCGCTTTTCCACCAACTTGAGCAAATGACTCATTTCAAGTCCCACGTTTCTACGTTTAACGTGAGCGAATAAACGTGCGATTACAGCTGAAAAATTGCGCAAAATTGATGACCAATATCAATTCGGGCCGAACATGCCTTGTGTTAATGAGGTGGATAACGGCAAAAGGATACTTTACATATATCAAGGAGCACCTCCCAGCTCATGTGGTTAAACGTTGGCATACATTGCTTTTGCTTCTTTTCAGACCAGAATGCACAGATGAACCGTGCACACTGAGCTAGCTGTTCTCCCACCCCCTCCTAAACAGATATCATCTCCATGTATCTTATACAATCTTACCTACCTTGTGTATATTGTGAGCCAGACAGCGAAGTTGCTTTGCTGTATTTCATCTTCTCGATGATGCTATGCTCGATCATACAACAAACTAGGAGCCACAACGAATACAAAACCCAGCCATGGGTTAGTGTCACAAGGAGGGTTTACGCCACTAATATAGACTAGAGACAAACAACAAAATAAAAACCATTGGAATATTCCGAGCTGCCATCCGTCCTACTTTGAACTATAACTGTGAGATGTGATCAACAGGAACCGAAGACCTCTGGAGAGTCGACGTCTTCGATCACATGGTTATGTAGTGCATCACAGAGCCACAGTTACACACCTGATTTTCTAACAAAGAAATCTGTTCGAACAGCTGATCCATCGCAAAGCTTTTACACCCCCATCTCGAGCGATTCTCCGGAACTCGGAGGATAAGATGAAGCTGTCTCTCGGGGTCATGCCAAGCCCGGGAGTAACACGGGGGAAGAAAATAAGGATTGAATAAGTACGAAAACGATACGCAACCTCCAACGTTGGATTTTGATAAGAGGCAACCGTCGTGCATAGGCAGCCGCAACCAGAGATACACACAAACCTAACATCCTCATACACTTGTATGAAAGAGAAGCCGCTTAGTGCTCCTTCAAACTCATTTTTGAAGTTGGATGGTTGATTTAGCGTAAACAGACCAGAAAGACAGTGCAGGACAGTTGGCCGGAACACCCGATTTGAAGATTAGAGAAGACTATACGTGCGATTTTCCTGTTATTGAAGAATTCGCAATGTGTGGAGCAATAAAATACAGAAGCAGACGTAAACCGAAGTTTAAGTGTCCTTCACGATATTCGATGAGGTACACAAATGGATAACCCAATAACTGTGGGGGAATACATGCCAATTCTATTGTACAAGTGCAAAACCATACTGAACGAAACGATATCGACCCAGGATTAGGAGAGATTGGTACGCAACATAGCACAACACAGTTTGAGAACAGGTGAATGCTGACGTAGTTCCGTTGCCAGATCCGGCACATGCACAATCCGTGGAGCAACCGCCAGCTGGGGTGAACCGTCTGTATTCCGATCCCAAATCACACGGATCAAATGATAACGCCATGTGTGCTGAGCCGCACACATTAATTCGGACAAGGAAATCTCGAACAGATCTGTGTTTGGATCTGAGGTTGTGCTTCCTGCGGTGGATTTGACTTCGAGGAAAATGGGACCGACAGAGAGTAATCCGGGTTGACAGTGGTCTCCTTCACGGAACGATGGTTGCTGGGCGATTCGAATAGTATTGTTTGCGATCTCGTCCGACACACGTTCTAGAAGTGAATCCCACTGAGCACCATCGCATTCGACTGGGGAAATGAAAACAGAAAGCATATTCCGGTGGATATTTTTTCGTTTCCTAAGCAAACTATCTTATAGTCAATAAATTTATACATCCAAATTGACCCCATTAGTGTGTGATAACTTCGAGATAGATAAAAGGAATTGGACTTGAAATGCAGATAATGAGTAAATGATAGAAAGCGAAATTTCATCAGAATGAAAGGTACGTGACTGCAATCATAGTTTAACCGTGAATTTCCTTTAGACGCCAATTGAAAGGCATAACACCAGCTTAGTGATCCAATATACCGAAGAGGCGTGTGTTGTGAGGTTGTGAATGAAATATTGTTACCCAGATACGTGTTGCTAATATTTTTCTGAAAACATATGCAAAATATATGTATATCGCGGGTTTGAGGGCAAGCATGGTGCCAACGTAACAACAATGATACTATGAGTGCCAGGAAGGGGTGCAAATAAGTGAAAGGAAAATATGGGGAAACGGATAACAGAGGGCGGGAAGAAAAAATGAACGAATAATATTTTGTTAGTTTCATCGTATACATATTGTTATCATCTACATGTTACAGGTAACGGGGTTTTAACAAATGGAGAAGACAACAATCGCGCCACTGACCTCTGTCGTGAGCCATATCTACCAGTCTCTCTAGTCATTCGCAATCCTTATCCATTAGGTCCCAGCCAGGAAGGCTCGACCAACTGAAATGGATGCTGAAGCTAATTGGACACTAGTCGAGGCAGGACGCGAGAGAACAGGGACGTAATTTTTATCTGAGACGCTACTATTACCACGATCGTTCGAAGACCCCGGTTCGATTGGAAATGTGCGAGAAGAATGAATGAATGCAGGAAAAATTGGGAAAATGATATAGACTGGTTCCCTCTAATTGAGGAAAGAGGGGAGTGCAGCTTCGTTGATTGGAGGAGGCGCATTATTCACGG